GCGCCCGCCAGGGAGGCCTGCGTCGGGCGCGGGAGTCGCTCTGTCCCTCCCGGGCCGGTCGAACGAGCCGAGCCGAGCCGTGATGGATGGTTCTCCGGCCGGGTGGAGGTGCGGAGCTCGGCGGCTTGTCCCTGAGCTCGGGAGAAGCCCCGCTGTCTTGCACCACTGCCCCTTTGGCATGGCGTGATCTTCCTATGAATAGGCTTGGCTTGATACGTGTTAGCTTTTTTCTGACTCTTTTTTTCTGCATTGTTAAGAGTCTTGTAGCCTCTATTGTGCTGTTCTCCTCTCCCCCCTTTTAAGTGGTTTCTTTCATTCTTGTTTTTGTTCGTTTAAATCATCTAATAGTCGTCGTAATGATGTACAGGATGTAGAGAAATGATCACATGCACGGTGCTGTAGTGTGGCAGCTTGGAAAATATCCGTTCACATGATCCTCAGATAAGAGCAAGAAAGGGAGTAGGCATTGGGAATAGTTTTAGGCAAGAACGTTCATGGAGATGTTAAAAAACAGGCAGGTGGACTTGGCCTACAAATAAATATGTTTTCCGATTGCTAATCTCTGTTTCACTTGTCTAAATGCAGATAGATGGGTAATTCAAGTTAATTTTAGCTTGTCTTAAGACACTGAAATCAACAGTCATGTTGCACCACTTGTAGCAGGCAAGGAAACTTTGTAAGACCAATTTCGGGGTGCTGGATTTGTGACATCTGTCAATATTTTCACATTTTTCTTTCCATTGTGTATAAATGGTGTATTGGTACCAAGAAAGAGGCAGCAGAAGTTGTTACTGCTTGTGAGCTTTGAATAAAAACTCAGTAATGATACAGTCTTCTAAATCAACTTGTCTTACATGAAGAGATCTTCTCACATGGGAAGTAGAATTAGGATAGCAGTTTTGAAAGAATGTTAGGTTCGGTTAGAAGGGAATTTATTTTACTTTAGATATGTAGTTTTCAAAGAAAATCCCAGAAATCCACAGATGCCTCTGAAAGGCAACTTGTACAAAATTGATAGGTGACTAAGCCATACTGTCATTTATTTCTATGTGTTTTATTTCATAAGTAATTTTTTTATTTACAAGTAAATAGTTCTGTGATGCTGGTTTTTATTGTGCAGAATAAACTTTTTATTTTTTTCCCCCTCAGCTTTCACCATATTAAAGTTGTAATAGCTATCCTAAGAGCAGAATGCATTCTGAGTGGGTGTATTATGTGTTTATTAATTATTGCCATGTAAGAGAATGTGTGTAACTATAAAATACCGTATGCAGAACAGATGTGATAAGTCTGGTATTACCACAGTGACTGAATTTGATGATGCTGTTTTGATTTTTGCAAAATGGCGTGTTGCAGCATTCTCATCATCATCATCAGGGTTAAGCTTCTAAATAGTATGTAGCCAGAGTTTGGCTTTTAAGTGTTTGAAGATTCTGTTATGTCCTTGACTTACACAAAGTCACTCACACTTTGCACTTTCTAAAATTTTTGCAGCTAACTTTTCTGAGCAAGTAGTTGAAAGCTTTCCATCTGATATCTCTACTGGTATATACTATGGATGGGCCTGTGTTGGAAATGGAGATGTGCATAAAATGGTTTTGAGCATAGGATGGAATCCTTTCTATAAGAATATTAAGAAATCAGTGGTAAGAATTTTGCTTTGTGTGGGATTTTTATTACAATAAATGAACCAGATGTTGAATTTGAATCAGATAAGCAGAATTTGATCCATAAATGAGATCTAGAAATTCTGGTTGCTCTTAGAAATGTATCTATATATATATATGGTATCTGTATTGCATGTTTGTATTCTGAAAAGAAAATTCAGTAGCCAGAGAGAATGCAGCTGTAGGTAAAGTAATTTTCTTCTTTCTATTCCATCATTATTTAAATAATTCCAAAATAAACATCTAACAGTATTTCTGAAATGGTGGTTGCTTATGGTGGTGGTAGCTTAATAAGCATAAGCTTGGTGGCTGCATTGAATTTACTGATTACAAGAGCCCTAGCATGAGCTGGAACATACTAATGCTCTCTTCAACCTATCTGCTTTTCAAACGAGATGTTGAGGCATCTTGATTTGTAATGATTTTCTATTAACTCTTCTTTTAAATGATGGAGTCCATACATGAGATGTGCTGTGGCTTGATACACAGAATAAATATTCAAAGGTACTTAATAGTAGGATGGAGCTGTATTTTGCATGCTGTCAGGTGCTGGTGCTTTTCCTGAGTCTTGTAGAGTTCCATTTTATTGGTTTAAAATACTTCTATTTGGGCATGAATCTGTGCTTCTAAGATTTTAAGCAGACTCTGGAATGTGCTTGTCTTGCGCAAATGTATACTTAAAAAGTTTTGCAGCAAACTTTTCTGGGCAAGTACTGAAAAGCTTTCCATCCAGGATCTCTGCTGGATCTGCTATGTGTGGGCCTATATTGGAGAGGGAAATGTGTGTGGTTTTGAGTGCAAGATATTTGTTCCTACGTGAGCTAGAAACGCTTTCCTTAAGCCAACTACTTCAGTAAAGATCTTAATAGTTATCTTAATGAAACATTAAGCTCTGTTTGTGATTTGCTGCCTGGAAATCTTACCTCCAAGAAGTGCTGAAGCATTTCTCCTGAATAATGTCGTCTGTCTTCTTTTTTTTTTTTTTTCCCCTCCCTTTCCCCCCCCCCCATCAGAATACTCTTAATTGAATAATTTTTCTTAAATTCCATGCAAAGTAAATTCTCCTTCCTAACACAAGCAGAAGTCCTACCCTTTTCCTCTTTCACTGTATATGCTTAAATTAATGTTCCCTTTACTGGTATGTCTTGGGAAGAATTTGAATTAGGGCTAGTAGCTACATCTTTACATTGGGGGGGGAAATAAACTCAAAGTTCATCATAAATGCTGACTTACTTCTCTTCCTTTAGGAAACACACATTATCCACACCTTCAAAGAAGACTTTTATGGAGAAATTCTTAGTATAGTCATAATAGGATATATTCGACCGGAAAAAAACTTTGATTCCTTAGGTCAGTATTGCAGCTCTCCCTCAAACTAGTCTCTGATTTGTCTTGCAAGTACTGTGTCTTCACTCTGTCTTTCTATAATGAGATGTTTGATCTGGTAACCTTTGAAATTTCAGTAAAATGTTTTCGTAAGCTAAGTGTACAAGTTGGTTTAATTAAGAAAAACCCAAACCATACTCCACATCTTCCAGTGTTTCACACTGAAAAACTATATTGTTGTGTCACATGTCTGAGGAGTAATTGAAACAGAAATGCTGAAACGTCTGTTGCAACAAGGAGGAGGAAGTGCTTACAATGATGAAAAATGCAACTCTGGTATGTCTAAAAGAAAAAAAAGACATTTTAAAACCAAAGAATTTTGCCTTTCAGTCATTATGTTAATAATTATATTCTACGTCTGAGACTGTTATCTGGTATTCTGTGGCACATGTTATTTCACTTGCTATTGTGTGTTCAGAATTCAGACCAACTTTTAAATATGCCTGTTCTTACATTTCCCAGAGGCACTCATTTCAGCAATTCAGGAAGATATTGAAGAAGCGAAGAGACAGCTAGATTTACCAGAGCATCTTAAACTCAAAGAAGATAACTTCTTTCATCTGCCAGAAAGCAAAATAGTGAACAACCATTGAGCAAAGTCATACTGCTTTTTTTAATTATTATTATTTTCCCCTCGTGGTTTTTTTTTTTGGGTGGGGTTTTTTTTTTTTTGGTGGTGGTTTTTTGTTTGGGGTTTGGTTTTTTTTTTTTTTGGTTGGTTGGTTTTTTGTTGGTTTTTCTTTTGTTTGGGTTTGGGTTTTGGGGTTTTTTCTTTTGTTTGGGTTTTTCCCATTTTATTTTAATTTTTTTTTTCTCCCCTGTCATGGAGCTTTTATATTTGCACTGCTTTTATAGGTACTTGTTGTCATATATCTGTTCAGGTAAACTGAGGTTGGAACCAAACATAGGAGATTATTTCAGTTTCCTTGTGTTAATTCATATTAACCCAGTAGTGCAAAAGGAGTAGAAGGCTGCTTTAGGTCCTCACAGATAAATTGTGTATACTGAAGTTACCAGTTGTTCAGCGATCTGAGCACATGTGGAACATGATCAAAGTTTATCATTACCTCTTCTGACCCCAAGGTATAGATAGTTCACTTGAGAATGTCTGGTTTTAGCATACAGAATGTTATTCCAACCTCTTATTAGTTCTATCTAATTCTTGCCTCTTGATTTCAGCTAGTAGGTTAGAAAATTTTTGCTATTGATTGAGTCAGAAATTTCCTGTGGTTGAGGAAGCAAATTATATAACAATAGTAGGATTAGTTCTCTATAGTTCTTATTTTTTATATGCTACATGGCTGTTGTGGTTGAAACTGTTAATTTAATTGAAGGTATTTATTTTAAGTTTATTTGAAATGGAGGAAATCACTGTTGCTCATTGAGTTACTGGAATCTGAGATGCACTTCTTCATAGTTGACTGTACATAGGACAACACATGACCTGTAGTTTACTTCTGAGGAAGTGTTTCACCAAAATTCAGGAAATGAGTGGCAGAATTCGGGAAATGAATGAATAAACTTTAAAGGCTCAGGCACAAAGATGCAGAAACAGTATAACAAGATTTCTGCTCATTTGTCCTTAAAGCAAAGAGGTAATGAAATGCAACTTTACATTTTATGTGCTGCTGGCATTTGTCATAAGAAAACAGGGAGAATCTTGAGGTTATTCACTACACTGGCAATAAAATGGCTGACTTCAAGATTCCCATTATTGTAAGGCACAGAAAAATCTCATCAACTCTGCACTAAATGCAGGTAAGAGCTAAGGTTTTGGCCAACCGATTAGAAAGCCTTTGGGGATTCATGGAATAATATAGCAACGCTATAGTGGGGATTGGTTATTTATTACAAGTAATTGCAGCTGGTCATACTCTGAAATCTAGGGATACATAAATGGTGGGGGTATTGTCAGAATTGATAGTAATTTGAAGTATGTAATGCATGATTCCAGATCAATTCTTTTTTCCCCCTGATAAATTAGAAAAATTTGTATAAATTTTTCTATAAATTTTATTTTTCTAATTTATTTTTCTATAAATTAGAAAAAACTGTCTCTTAGTGAGTGGGACTAGGTAAGCTGCAGTGACTTGTCATATTCATAATCTTTTTACATAAGCTTGTAACGTGGCTGGAACACTTTCTGAAATTTGAAATAGCTCTGTGGATATGTCTCAACTGTAGTTATGTGTCTCAACTACCATGCGCAATTTGGAATGCACTATTTCTATAGTGCAGTTTTATGAATTTGCTCCTTGTCCTATCCTATGCAAATCCTACTTTTCAGTCTGGAGTTTGAGAGTTTTAACAAGGTAGCTGTTTGGGCCTCAGTGGCAGGGGGGGGTCGGGGGGTGGTGTTCTTTTT